AACACTGAGAATGTGAAGAGGAACATCTGTTGAGTGTGTGCTCAAGTCAGTGCTGGGGATTACAATTAACACATTGTTTGTTTCTTGCCTCAGGAAAATAAAATAAATTTTAAATCTGTGTCTTATTCACAGGTATACTATGTAATTTTGTGGGTTCTGGAGGAGAAAGATCTTGCTGAATTTTTTTTTCTAGAATACCTTACCCACTGTTGTCCCTAAGAAGCCACCAGGAGAAATGGGTTGTAACTTTGGGGTTGTAGGAGGTCCATCAGAAAATGTTACTGCTATAGACATAGGGAACTTTCATAGCCAGAAGCTATGTGTTGAATTGATGCAGTAGGCAGGACAGAGAGGATATGGCTGGGCAGAAGATCCTAGTTTAAGGTGCTGTCTGTTGATTGGACCGTTGTCTTAGATGGAGTCCCCAGGGTCCTAGAGATAGTTTATGCCTGAGAAGCAAAGGGAAACAAGATGGACAGGAAAGGAGCCCAGAGAAGACAGCCTTGTTTATGTCATAATATTGTTTAGGGACCAACCCTGTTGAAACATTGCAGACCCTCCTTGTCTAGCAGTTTTATGTAAAATGACTATGGGTATCTTTCAGTACCAGCTGAGGTTGAAGCTGACAGCAGTCATAATGTCAGATCCTCTGGGGTGGCTGACTTGTAGGTTTCTGCTGCCGTTTCCTAGCGATCCAGGGCCTGTTACTGCACAGGCACAAAACTGCTGGTGGGTTCCCCCTAGAGAGGAAATAGTTCATTGGAGCCTCACGGTAGAACCAGCACAGGTAGGTAAAACGTTTTTATAATTGCCACTAGGAAAAAGAGAGGACCCGGGGGAATCTTCTGCCCAAGGGGCCCCTCTCTAGTTATAACCTAATTTGTTGTACGTATGTGAATCATGTGGGTGGAATTTATCCTTCTCAGGTATTAGGTCATATTGTTTTCAAATGTGTGGAGACTCCAAGAAATGGAAGTTACTGCATTTTCCCAGATGGAAACTGACACCTGTCACTTTAAGGTGAGGTGTGTTTGTTCTTCCCCCTCCCTATTGGGGTTGTACACAAAGGCTCTGTGATTCTGGAATTGAGGTTTGTGTTTCGATAAAGACAGTTCTAAGGCGCAAGAACAGGGAACTGGAAGCTAATTGTCACTGAAGAAGCTTGCACGGCCATTCTGCTCTTCCTGTTAGGACCATTCTGGGAATTTATGCACATTTGCATGTGGTAGACTAGGGCAAACAAACCACAGGAAACACTCAGCAAGTTACCCATGGTGTTAAAAGGTGGCAAGGCACAGTTTTCTGGCAAGAAGAAGGTATTACATGCAAGGTGCAAAATGAATCCAACACATATAACTAAAATGAACTTTGAAATACAAGAAATATGTATAAACACCATTTGAAATGGTTTCCCGGAGTCAGGCCAAACACTATTTCTCATGCCTTATAGGGGTTTAATTATCTTAACTGAATGAGATTCTGCAGTTCGAAAGCTAAATAAGCCCCTTCCACACATCCTTGGCATATTTGTACCTGCAGCATGGTGTGTTGCATGGTTTGCTGAATTTCAAGAAAAGTTTAAGGACAAGCTAGGGGTATAGGTAGAGCTGTAAAGAGCCTGCTAAGCAGGTATAAGGCCCTGGGTTCAAACCCAGAGCCCCCCCCACACACCCTAAACAACAAACAAACAAATCATCCTGGAGTTGAAGCTAGTTAGCAGGAATATCTGAGATGAGCACGGAGATTGGGGCTTCTGGGTCCTTTCCACGACAAGCTAGTAAAATGACAATTTCTGCAAGGTACAGAAGAGGATTATATGGCTTAATCGCACCCCCAAAATGCATATAGTGAAACTCAAATCCGGCTTCTTCAGAATGCAAATAGACCTAGGGCCTTTAAAGAGACAATTGTTTTGAAATGCAGCCACTACCATGGGCCCCAATCCAATCAGACTGGTTATCTTACAAGAAATTTGGCTGGATGTGGTGGCACATGCCTCTAATCTCAGCATCTGGAAGTCTGATACTCTGGTTGAGCATAATTTAGGCCAAATAATGAGTTGAAGGCTGGCCTGCTGGTTTACCTATGGAGACCCTATCTCTCAATAGTGCAAACCAACAGTAGTAGAAGAGTTCTGGACCGAGACAGAGAAAGGAAGCAGAGGCATGCCCATGTGTGAACTGTGTGAACACTGGGTAAGAGTGTGACTATCTGCAAGGCAAGGAAGGAGCAGTCTCCAGAAGCTGATGAAAACTAGTTTCTGCTATTTAGGCAGCAGTCTGGCATTTTGTATGGCCACCATTGTGAACTAATATAGACAGAACAGATGTGATCCGACAGTGACCTGCAATTAAAAGGGTCGAGAAGAGGTTGTGATCATCTCAGAGTACTTCTAAAATTCAGGTTTCCTAAACTATAAGCCTCAGAATCTCCTAGAATAGTTTTTTGTTGTCTGTTTGTTAGGGTGATTGGTTGGTTTTTGAGGCAGGGTCTTTGTCTGTCTGTCTGTCTCTGTCTCTCCAAGGCCTTTGTTGTCTTGGAACTCACTACATAGCCAAGGCTAGCCTCTGACTCACAGAGGTCCCACCAGCCACTGCCTCTTCCCCTGAGTATGGGGATTAAAGGTGTGCATCACCATGCCTAACATTCCTATAATGCTTTGAAAAATGCAGGTCCCCAGGATCTAGTGTTGCTGTGTTCATCTCTGCATCTGGGTTCTTATTGTAGTGAAATGTCCCAGATGATGCTTTTGAAAACCAAAGCTTGAGCTCCAGTTCTTGGCTATGGAGTGCTAATTATCCCAAGTGCTAGAGTGTCCAGTGTTCAGACAGATGTTCTACCATCTAGGAAGCAGATGTAAATCTTACTGTTAATTATTGCAGTGGGTATTGCAGCATGTGGGAAAGCTGAATGGGGCAGAACAGATGGAATCTTTGAAGGAATTTACATTAGATTCTGGAAATACCTTCCTCACCTATCTTCCTTAAGAATATAATGACACTGTTTGAACTGCCATCTCCCATCCATGTTCTTATGCTTCTCTCCTTGGGTTTATTTAAAGAAATCAAATGATTACATCTACACCTAACTTCTCTATTGCTAGTCAGCTATTCATAATTGTTGTGTCTCCTTCTCCTCTTCTTTCTTCTTGTCATTTCCTCCCCACACAGGGTTTCTATGTGTAGCCCTGGCTGTCCTGGAACTCAGTCTGTAGACCAGGCTGGCCTTGAACTCAGAGATCTACCTGCCTCTGCCTCTCAAGTGCTGGGATTAAAAGTGTTTGCTACCACCACCTGCCGGTGGTACTTTAATCATACCCTGGGCCTTGAAAATGCAAATGAGCTATATCCCTAGCATGCCCAGTGGAGTAGCGTATATTTGTGAAATAGATAAATGATAATAGGTATAAAGGCTAAACATACATGGAAAGGATAAGTATGACACACCGGTTCTGTGCAGAACAGGAATAAAAAAAAATATTTCCATTTGACAGAGGGCAACTTTTCTTACTTTCGTTTCTGGGTCAAAGAGGAAAGGAGAAGGGAGGAGGGTTGATGAAGCATGAACTTTTTTGTTTGTTTGTTTGTTTTTATGATTATGTAGCCCTGGCTGGCCCAGGACTCCTCGTTCTCCTGTGGTTGCCTTTAGGGCTGGGATTACAGACTAGTACCACACTGGGTTGTGCATTGTCAAAGTAGGTAAAATAAACGATATGCCTTCAAATATGGCAGTTTCTTAGGTGAAAGTTGCCATCCTAGCTGGGCATTGTGGTTCAAACCTATAATTCCAACACGGGGGAGGCAGGAGGAGTGCTACGTGCTGGAGGCCAGCCTGAACTATGTTTTGAGTTTCACATTGGCCTGCACTCAGACAGTAAGACCTGGCCTTAAGAAGAAACAAAATGTAGCCCTATCTATTCACATGGCTTTATGTATTTATTATACACAGGGTCTCACTCTACACCCTAGAGTGTTCTGGAACTCGTAGAGAAACTCATTCCTTATCCCAGGCTAGCATCCCGCTCATGGCCAACCTCCTGCCTCAGCCCCTCTAGCGCTGAGATTACAGACATGAGCTACCACACCCAACAAGAGATGCCGGGTCTCTAAGGACTCTTGGTTTTGGTGGTTTGTCTTAAAGCAGGACTTTAGGCACAACATCTGGCTGTTTTCCTTATGGTGTCCAGCTTTTGAACCCGACTCAGCTAATGTCCTAGTAGTGACCAGGCCTGGCTAGAGTTCCTCTGGCCCTTGTAATTCAGTATCAGGCACATGGCTGGGTTTTTTGTTTGGTTTTGTTTTGTTTTGTTTTGTTTTCCTTCCTAGATTAACCCAGTTCAATTTCTCAGTGCAAACCACTGGGTTCTCAGTGGATCCTCTTCTCTCTCTCTCTCTGTCTCTCTCTCTCTCTCTGTCTCTCTCTCCCTTCCTCTCTCTCTCTCTCTCTCTCTCTCTCTCTCTCTCTCTCTCTCTCTCTCTCGTGTGTGTGTGTGTGTGTGTGTGTGTGTGTGTGTGTCTGTGTGTGTGTGTCTGTGTAGCGGGATTGTCATTCAGGTTCCAGGTGCTTTCCAGAAACAAGACTTCTGGCACTTAAAAGAATTGATTTAAAACGCTAGACCGTAATGCCTTGGGGAAGCACAGAAGCAAAGCCCTAAGCGCAAGCGCGTTTCTTTAGGAATGAAAAGGAGGAAGCTTGCCAGCCCCGGCGGCGAGGGAGCCTTAACCAGGCAGCGCGGCCCTTTTGGCTGAAGGGGTCCGGGCGGGCCCGTGCGCTCGGAGAGCCGGCCTCCTTTCCAGATCTTTCCGTGCAGCCTTCTGCCGGATGCGGGGCTCGCTCCGCGAGGTCCGGGCCTAGGCCGGGCGGCGCGGGAGCCCTGAACGGCGGACCAGGGGACCAGGGGGTCGGTGGAGCGGGCGGCGCCGCGCGTTCGTTAGAGGGCGCTCAGGGGCGCCGCCGCTTCCTCCCGCCCTGCCACCCCTCCCCGCCAGCCGGGGCGCACGCAGCCGCCGGGCCCCGGGGACCGAGCCTCCACGCCGCCCGGGCCCTGGAGCAGGGAGGGCCGCGCCGCCCGCCGCCTCCTTCCGCCGGCCATGCACTCTTCCGGCTCCCGCAGCGCGGGCCCGGCCCCGGCCTGGCCGAGGTAACCCGGGTCGGGTCGGGCCGGGCCGGGCCCGGGAGGCCTGGGGGCGGGGAAGGTGCCGTTGGTCGCGTGGCCTGCGAAGGAGGCGGCGGCGTCCCGGGGGCCGAGGGCGCGGTAGGCCCCGGGGAGGAGGCGGAGGCGGGGGCGCGGGGCATCGCCCGCCTCCCCGGGACCCGCCCCGGTGACAGGTCCGGCCTCTGAGTCCCCGCCGCGCCTCTGTCCGCAGGCAGCCGCGAGGGGACTAGGGCGCCCGCGCGCCCGCTCGCGCCTCGGGCCGCCTGGGCCGCCGCAGCCGCGTCCATGACCGCGACCCCCGGGCCGGGGACTCCTGCTGCCGCCGCTACCGCCCGCCCTCGGCCCTGCCGCAGCTCGCAGCCCGCGCCCATTGAGGTGAGCTGGCTACAGGGACCCGGCTGAGGGGAGACCCGGCTGAGGGGAGACCCGGCTGAGGGGAGACCCGGCTGAGGGGACCCGGCTCGGGGGAGCCCGGCTGAGGGGAGCGGGCTGAGGGGACCCGGCTCGGGGGAGCGGGCTGGGGAGACCCGGCTGAGGGGACCCGGCTCGGGGGAGCCCGCCTGAGGGGAGCGGGCTGAGGGGAGACCCGGCTGAGGGGAGCGGGCTGAGGGGACCCGGCTCGGGGGAGCCCGCCTGAGGGGAGCGGGCTGAGGAGACTCGGCTGAAGGGGAGCCCGGCTGAGGGGAGCCCGCTGCGGCGACCCCGAGGCCGCCCCCCTCCTCACCTGCGAAATCGCTGCCCGAGCCTCTCAGCTGTGCGTCTCGGGCGCCCTCCGCATCCCTCGCCCCTGGGCTTCACCTTTTAGGTCCCGCGCCTCTCCCCTCCCCCTCCCGCTGGCCTCCTCTCACCTTCATCCTCTTTCCCGGGCCCCCTCTCCTCTCCCCTCCTGTCCCCTTGGAGACTAGGGAAGGCACACCCCCAGCGGCCGCTGGCGCGGGCGAGCCCCTGGGGAGTCCCGGTGAAGGCATGGCCGGGCGAGCGGGGCGACCGCAGAGGCACGCTGCGCGGGGCCACCACCGGCTAGCGGGACGGCTTGGTGGTGGCTAAATATATTCCGCCGTGGCCCGTGCCGCGGAGCAGCTCCCTTGACCTTGCGCGGCTCCTCCTCCTCCCCTCTGTCCCCTCTCCCTGTCCCCCTCTGGAATTTGACCTCGAGATCGCCGCACCGGGTTCTGCACCGGGAGGAAGAGCTTAGACCCTTGAGCTTTCTATTATTTGTGTGCGGGGAGGAGGAGACGGCTGCGCTGCTAACTGCTGTAGACGTGTTGCATCCATTTTCCCTTTGAAATGATTTTCCCTTTCGTCTCCAGAAAGACGGGGCCGCTGCCAGTGTGAGAATGGCTGTGACCGTGGATGAAGCTCCATGGCTGGGCTGGATGGTAGCGAAAGCCCTGATGAGATTTGCCTTCATGGTCGCCAACAACCTGGTTGCTATCCCGTCCTACATCTGCTACGTGATTATACTGCAGCCCCTCCGAGTGCTGGACAGTAAGCGCTTCTGGTACATTGAAGGACTCATGTACAAATGGCTGTTAGGCATGGTGGCTTCCTGGGGATGGTATGCTGGATACACAGGTAAGAGTGTGAGCGTTTAATGCATATGAACCAATGTGCAATGCTGTGCATAAGTCAGGAGCCATGACTGAATATATGTATTAACAATTTGTGTTGAGATTGCTTTGGCTATTGGGAACAACAACAACAACAACAACAAAAAGTCTTGTTGGATTTCTCATCAGAACCTCAGCCAAGGATGCCTGATGTTTTCAGAAAGTATAATTTTATAATTAAACATATGTTGATAGCTTCCTTAGTGTATCCAAGGATGCCTGATGTTTTCAGAAAGTATAATTTTATAATTAAATATATGTTGATAGCTTCCTTAGTGTATTTTTTATGTGATTGACATTGACTTATTAAACATGGGCTGCAAAAGCTATCATAGAGGAATAGGAATGCATTATGTAGGACTTTGAGGGCTTACAAAGTGAAGATGTAAGATACTTAGTCCATAAGCATTGATATTTAGAAAAGCTGTAGAGCCATATTTCTGCCAAGACAGTTTAATAAGTTTTTCATGTAATATGATACTTCACTGAGTTAATATTTTAAGCCAAACCCACCCCCCCATTTTTGTTAAGTATGTTTCTTTTGTTTTCTAGAATTTATATTTCATCTCATAAATCTGACATTATTAAATTTTTAATTGCATTTTGGAGAGAAGGAGTAACACTATGCTGAAGTGGACTTTTAGAGTACTAAATGAGATGTGTTTATTTCCTACCTATAACCTATTTTGAGAACTTCATTTCTGCCTAAATGCTGTATCTTCTTTTTTCCCCCTTTTGATCCTTTCTATCATTGATTATTTCTTCTTTAAGATTAAAGTAGAACAGAAATAAGTAAGGAGGTTCCTAGCTAGCTCTTGTGACACGTAGAAATAAGGAAATATAAAACTGGTGGCCAGGTTCCTGAGCGACTCTGCTGCAGTTCACAGCTAAGAAGAGTAGAGGATACTGGACGGGTCAGGGAGCAAGGCAGTCCTCCATTTTAGACGATCTCCCCCTCTTTCCTGCACACCCTGCATCTGCAGATTGTATCCATGCACATCAGAAAAGAGCTGACAGCACACACACGGGTCTGACAGACTTCTGCCACATGAGAAAATGTTCTCTGTTGCCCCCGATGAACACTTTTCCCCTCCCATCATTGGCATGTACTACTCTGTGAGCCCTGGGGTAGTATATGTGTTGCTTCTTTGTGATGAGCTGTTGAGATTCCAGCATTTTGGGGGGTACAGTGGTAAACACCTCATCCTTCTCAGTGCCTGGTAGCATAGTGATGGAGAGAAAACAGAGCTCCTGCTGTAATGTTGAATCTCATCTTAATTGTATCGCTGTCCTAAGGGTGCCTTTGCTTACTGTAGTTGGCTTTCCCAAATGTGCTATTTATTGTTTGCTTGTTTTAAACGAGTTTATAGACTTTCAGAAACGGCTATCTTTCTACTTAAAAAAAATGAAATAACTGAAGTGTTTGTTCTTGTATGTAATACATATCTATTTGTATCATCCTGATGAAAGAAATTGTCCATTGACCTTGAGAGTGTGAGAATACAGCGTTGCTGTTGAAGTTAGTCACTTATGGACATAGCTTGGTGGCAGCAGTGTCCTTGCTTTGTTTTTTCCTGAGACAAGATTGTGTTTCTGTATCCTAGGCCACCCCTAAACTCAGCTTCCCAAGTGCTGGGATTTCTGCACCTGCCTCCAGTGTGTTTTTAAGCAAAGCTTCTTGGGGCATCTTCTTTACTGACTACAGACCTATGAGTTTCTTTTGCCTCCCGCTTAATATAGAGGTCGTGTGACCTCTATCTATATTTTAGTCTCTTTGAAACATTTGCTCTTCTTCGGGCTACTGACTGTTGGCAATGTGATCAGTTTCTCATCAGATTTTAGTTTGCATATTTTCATTGAGTTTTCTCATGAGCAGAATACTTGATTATAGAGTCTGGTCACAGTCTGATCATAACAGGACAGTTAAGAAGTCAACCAAAGTAGAAATGACTTTGTTGAAAGCCTGAGTAAGGTTTAAAGAAGCTAACCTGCATAGGAGCCATTAACTTCTTTCTTTGCATTATGTATCTGATTTCTTCCCTTTCTATTAAGAGGACAGTAGGCATTTTGTTTTCCTTTCTCTTTGCTTAAGTTTCACAGATGGAAAATTGAACAATGTCAATTTAATTCTCAGAAGATCTGCTCAGTAGCTCAGTATTAGAATACTTGCCTAACATGCTTAAATTTCTGGCACTACAAACAGATAAGGTTCCTTGTTAATGTACAGGAAGAGGCAAACATCATAAAATGAATCCTTCAACACATGTGATTCTTGTCCTTAAGTCTGTGAACCTTTCTTTGTGGGGTTTTTTTTTTGGGGGGGGGGAGTTCCTTTTGTCAGTGCACCTGCTATCAACTCCAGTGCAGGTTAGAATCTTTACGCTTGATGAGTTGTCAAAGAAGTCATCCCTATACTGTTTGTTCTCCTGACTGCCCTGCCATGATCATACCAGCAAGTTTGTGTTTCAGAATAAAAATTGCCAAAATTTTGTTAAAACTTAGAAGGAAGTTTTAAATACCAGTTAGAAAGCTGAAAAGTAAACACTGATTTACAATAACAAATGTTCAAATTGTGGCATTTAAGTGTAAGGCAAGATGATTGCCCAGCTGAGGACTATGATGATGATGTAGCCTACCCTGCCCTACGTGGTGGCAACTAGCTGCATGTGAATACTTAAAGCAACATAAAATTGAGATTCAGTTTGGTTACACATACATTTCAGCTCTTAGTATTGGGTGGCTTAGGGTCTCCTGAACTGACAACTCTGTCATCACAGAAAATCCACTGGACAGAGCCAATACGTAGTCCTTTAGGCTTTTGTCTTTTACTTAGGAAAATTTCATTTTATTTTTTATCAGGAGAACATCTTTATTTTGATCTGACAAATTTCTGGGCTAAGTATATGGTAGAGTACTTGCAGGTTCCTTTGGGATATACAGGAATATCCATTATAGTTCTGTGAAGAGGCCCTTCAAACACACCTGTGATTCTTAGACGAGCAATGATAAGACCCATGAGCCTAAGAACCTTTATTGTTATTGTTGAGTGTTTTCTCAGATGGGGTCTCATGTTGACCTGTAACCTAGAACTCCCTCTATAGCCCAAGCTGGCCTTGAACTCAGGGTGATACTCCAACTACAACCTCTCATTTGCATGCTGGATTATAAGCATAAACCACCATGCCTGGCTTCCCAGAATTTTGTATTTAGTTTGTCTTCTCAGAGATGGACAACTACTTATAGACACAAAAGACAGAAAGGGTGTTTTCTGCTCTGTCCACCTGTTTCTGATTTTGTCCTGTCAGATGAACACATTTGTTAAAAGGACCCTAAAGACCATGGGGTTCATGCAGGCTCACTTGGTGGTAGGGAGTAATGAAAATTGCTACCACTAGCTCAAATGATATATAGATAGTTCATACTGGGGACAAGCATCATATGTTTTGTCCTGATACTTTGAAGGCAGTCTGAAAATGATACTAGCTTAACCAGTAATCTTCTGTGTGCATTACTTAGACTTGAAAGTCAGCCTATCCCTCCTCTGATTTAAGTAAAGATTGTGGCAAATTGTCTTCTGAGATATATATATATCTCAAAATATGTTTTGACTTTCATCCACTTATTTTGGTAAGGTCATCTTTATCCAAACACATTTAAAGTCTCAATACATTAAACAGTTTAAAGATACTCCCTGTAAGTGGAAGCTCCAGAATATCTACAAAAGACTGAGAGTCTTTGGGCCATAGTCTGGCTAGCAGGAGTGTGGGGACTTGCTGCCAGGCTGGCTTTGCTTAGCAAATGCTGTTTTCCTTAGATGATATTTACCTGTGTTGGCTTTAGGGAAAGCTGATGCAGATTAGGCTTAGTTTCCTCCTGAGCCCAGACTTTGATGTTCATCTTTTTGCTAAGAATGTATAGGGTATTTTGTTGTTATTTTAATTTAATTATTTCACTGTGAGTACAGGTAGTATCTGAAAAGCATTCTTCTGATGGGAATGAGCTCAGAACTCTTGAGTCAGTGATAATGATCCATCTTACCTCACTAGTTGGGTAAGATGCTTGCCTGTGTCTTACCCACAGGGTCTTTGTTATAATCCTAGAGCCTGGCTTGTTGCCTGGTGTTTGTGGGGTGCTTGGTAAGTGTGTTTGTATATTTGAGATAGGGTCTCATGTTTCAGTCTAACCTAATTCACTGTGTAGGTGAGATTGACCTTAAACTTCTAACTGTACTCTCTCTACCTCCCAATTTCTGGGATTATAGATTTAAGCCACTCCATGGGGGCTGGCTTTTGTTTTTTTTTTTTTTGTTTTGTTTTGTTTTGTTTTTTCAGGAGATGAAAGCTAGGGCCACATACATGTGATTTGAAGCCCCTGAGCCCCCAGTCCAGCTTTCTTGAGTAACCTCTTTCCTTTTTTTTTTTAAAGAAAAGAAAATTCCTTTACTGATTGTCTTCTGGATATCAAGGGGACTACAGGCTACAAAATATAAACCCCAAACCAGATCATGTGAAATTAGTATTTTTCATTTAATTTCAGGATGGCTCAGCAGCACTGGTAGGGAGATAATGTAGATAATGTACTGAATGATGGTCTCTCATGGAGATGTCCTCCTGCCTGATGAATGGCAGTGGTAGTGGGCAGTGAGAGGGTGTGCAGACAGTACTTAGGGAAGGAGAGACAGGTTTCGGTTTCCTGCTTTGGGGGCTTACCACTGCCCCATTAGGGAAATCTTTCTCTGTAGGATTTCCCCCTAATTCTATCATCAGCACTTAGAATAAATTTAAAATATTTGAATAATTTGTCATGTTGAAATTTGTTATCTTTGTGGCAATGAAATGGAGTTAGTTAATTCTTAGTGAAACATAAGCTGAGTAGTCCTGAGCATTTCCGTTTAATGAGTTTGCCATTTGACTTTATCACTTCCCTATTTAGTCGTTTCAAATTTAACAGCAGTTGTATTAGTCT